TCAATAGGTATAGCCTAGTTTACATTTGATATTTTTTAAACAACTATATATTTTAAGCAGCTGTAACTGACGCTTTCGACACAGTACCATCTAGGCCGTTCCGAGGTAAGTTTGTATGTTACCAGGGCCAGGAATGAGGCAATGGTGGGGTTTAAAGGCAGTGGCAGATCTAGGGTAAGTCAGAATAAATTACTACTATCAATATTATTTAGAAATTAATAACCAATGGTGTTGTTATTAAGGTATTTTTCATTGGAAAAAAGGCCGTGAAATGCATTGTGACTCACCCTAAATGCACCACTGTTTAAAGGCTTTCAGTTGACATTGTAAGAAACATTCTTATCTTGTTTCCAACACCGGGCTTTGCATAAGTAGCAACTCAGTCACTCAATTACTTATCTTGCATAAAACATATTTTTTGATAGAAGGTAAAATATCGTTTATTTTATTCATCTTTCAGAGAACAGCTTTCAAAATCGACAACCCCAGGTAAAGGACACCTAAAGAATCGCCCTTTAACTTGTTTGAACAGACTATGGAAACTAAATGCAGAGCGTGGTTGAGATTTTTAAAAGCACGACTGTCTATTACATTGGTATTGTTAATACACTTATAATAAACTGTGCATTTCTTGTTTTCACCTTTTGTAGTTTACCAGACAAACAAGCTTTGATGAAGTTCTAAAGCCACAGGCTGCAAACGGTAGGCTATATGTATATCTCCTTCAAGTATGTATGGTCAACGAGCAATGCACATTTGTTTCAGCTTTTGGACAATAGTTTGTAGTGACTATAGCTATATGTAGCGGTGTAGCACTGTTGATTTCCACAACATTATAGATGTTGTTCATTGAATATTTTATATTACCAATTATACAGTTTTTTATTTATTAATTATTTAATAATTTCATTTCAAATATCTTTGCTTTTAACCTGAAACCACCTGGAATGAAATGGGTTTGAATTTCTGTTATCATATGTTCAAAGATTAAAAACATTGCAAACTAATTTTGTATTTGACCGTTGAATGTGGAAACGAGTCTTAACAGGAAAACGAGTTTTCAGAGAAAACGAGTTTCGCCTCTCGTGCGTCCTTCAATATCACAGCTTTGATGTCAGGATCCTTTGTTGTAGACGTCGACGATGATTATTGTACATTGAGAGAAGCTTTATCGCAAGTCACCAGTCCGACAAGAGAGTACATGTCGCCAGATCCACCATTTTCCCCACCTTCGCCGTCAGCAGCGCGGGACGTTCTTCTCCACGCGTTCGCAGCAAGAACCGACACTGATTCAGAAGGAAGCGACGAAAGCAGCCGAAGAAGTTCGGGCTGTGGCGATGCGGTATCCGACCGCGAGCACTGAAATACGAGAACGTTATGTTTGATAAACCTTCGCCGAGTAGTTCATCAGGGTCTGGTGGCGAGAGTCGTCAAGGGCAGTTCACGGAAAACCGGCTTCAGATTGAGTTCCGTGAGTGATGGACCTGGGAACGAATATAAAGAATGGAAGAAAGTGAGTACTTTTGATCCTTAAAAAACTGAAATACGATGAATCTGTCCAAACTGCGAACAAATTATCCAGAACAAAGCGCGTTTCAGGCATTCAGCGGTCGAGAACTGTTGTGGATTAGTCTCTCCAAATATAAAGTATGGTGCAAACGTTTTAGGTCACATGCAGTATACCTGATGACTTTCTTTGAGTTTGTTAAGTACAAAAAATATCTTAAAAGTCGATATAAAATGTATACATGTACAGACGATTACAATATATATATACTTTGCGTGTATCCCACAGGTGAAACTGAATTCTGATAGGTTATAAAATACAACGTTTCCACAAAGTTGTGATCTAACTTGAGGTGGTGTCCTGAAAATTTTCCACAGTGCTATACATTCGAAAACTTAACACACACAATTCAAAAAGTAATTGATAAATAATAGTTTAAAGGTATTATGCGGTGAATATTTTACTTTTATGAACTTGATTTTATTAGTTGTCTCTATCATGCACGGCATTTTGGGATTACCCAATGGAAAAACTGAACACCCTTTATTTAAACTCACATTTTCTTGAGATTATCACTTTCTCTATTATGTTTCCTAAGCACCAATATACTCCCTGAAAAATAAGAGCGAAGATAGATGGAGAAGGTCCCGTTCTACATGATTAAGTTCCCTATAACAAGCCCTAATGAGGGCTAAGGCGGTCTAAGGAGGTCTAAGGTGGGCTGAAGAGGTCTAAGGAGGGCTAAGGTGGTTTAAGAAGGGCTAATAAGGTCTAAGGAGGGCTAAGGCGGTTTTAGGAGGTTAAGATGGGCTGAGGAGGGCTAAGAGAGCTGAGGAAGACTGAGGAGGACTAAGGTATGTGATACACTATAGTATGTGATACATTATACTACGGGTCACATAAAGTAACTACCGATAATTTAGAAGTATATGTGATGTATATATATATATAATTATATATATATATATATATATATATTGAATAAAATTACTTTAAGGCTGAATTAAAGGCTGAATTACTTAATTTTGACTGTTAAAACTATTGTGTCAATAAAATCATAGCTATATAACTATTGCTGAGAAACATTAAGATTATTGATATAAGTTAATGAAATAATTTTATTTATAAAATAAAATCGAACAGAGAGGCTAACTTTTGTTGACCTTGTTACTCATAGCATATATAAAAGAGTTTGATACCCTATTTGTGTGGCTCATTGGAATATCAAAGGTTCTTTCATGTCTTAGATTCTAATTAGATTTGTTCCTCTCTTGCTACAAATTATGAATTTTATTGTTTGGATCCACGGCAGAATAAAATAATTTTGTTACACAGATGTTCATGATGAACTTTCAAAGCTGGAATACCAAGTGAGTTTAATTTCTTCAGGTATAATAATAACTATAGCTCTTTTCTCCTGCCGTTCCAAATCGTTTTTCAAGTATTGAGGTGAGGTAGCGCATTGTAAAAAACCGGGACATAGTCAATGACTGATCTAATGCATGGTATGTAGAAGGAAGCCAGGGCTTTACACGGAACACTTGCGCCTTAAAGTTGCTCAAGTAAATCACAAGTAAATAGGGTCTTTTATCAACCTTTTTGACGACTTCGTCTATCTGAGGTTTCCATCTTAAAGTATTATTAATGGTAAGACCCAAGAGTTTGATTTTATTAACAACTTCTAACTCTTTTCCATGGAATACAATTGGATCGAAAGGTCTCTGATATCCAATTAATGACGCTATATGGTAATTCTAACTCTGATAGTTTTTGGATCAAAATTGAATGATTGACAACATCAAATGCTTTTCGGTAATCGAAGAGGATTTTTCTTACAACGGCGCCATTACCGTCAGTGGTGGTGGACCAGCGATGGATCATGCTGATTAATACATTAGTAGTGGAACTTCTAGGAACTGCACCATACTGATTTGGGTCGATGACTTTCAAGATTGCTGGTTTCACATAATCAACGACAATAAATTCCTCAGCGACTTTCGAGATAGCAGCAGTAAGTGAAATAGGTCTTAAATCTTTCTTTGGATCTTTTACAATTTTTGTGTTTTGCAAAAGTGTAATATTGGCCATTATCCAAGTGGTAGGTACACGTTGCTCTCTGTATGAAGTGTTGAGGATAATTGAGATTGCAAGGGCTGGGATATATGATAAATCCTTAATAGCCTTTGATATGTTTAGAAAGGTTGCCATTGCTTCTAACGGAAATTTTGGTAACGGACATTCTAGTCTAAAAATGTTTTATTCGTTTCATTTGTTTGATCTCTTGGTGTAAGGTTGGAAAACGTTTCAACATTGGCTAAACTTATCAGTTTCCGTTTGGTTACAAGGTTTGAGATACGTTTAATTTCAGACCACCATTTCTTCGGGTTTTTTTCTTTCAACTTATGCATATTTAGTTGATAATATTTCGCTCTACATTATTTTCGCTCTCTAGCTGTTAACTAAATGCCTGTACTTTTAAATATCGCCGATTTAATTCCATGAGTAGCAAAGGCTTGTTGTCTTTTCTTAATGATCGATTTCATTTTATTGTTCATCCATGGTGCATCTGTGATGGACACCGTTTGATTTCTTTACTTGGCATCGAAAATTCAAGGCCGGTAAAAACCACGTTGTAAAATGTATTCCACATTTCTTCACAGTTGATCTGATTGGAGGTTGGGAATAATTGATTGCCATTTTATAGAACTTAAATATCTACCAAATTCAGCTTTGCCAGATTGACGATAGTCTCGTTTTGTCATGACAATCTTCTTATTTAGTTTGGGACTTTTGACACATAAAGTCATGAACGGGGCTAATTGCCCCTTTTGCCTTCCTCTGGGCGGCCTGGTCCGTCATATATTATGCTGTACCAGTCTTTTATCGCGCCCTTGCGAGATATTTAAAGAATGGTCTTGTATGTTTGGAAAAAAGAGCGATAGCAATTTTAAAGCCAGAAGTGGATTATGGTTCAGCTTGTGAAACTTTGAATGTAAGACCAATGCCAATGGAAGAACATCATAATCTTTTATGCGAGAATTTGTTCCAGAATATAGTCAATGATCCGGAGCATAAACTTCATAATTTGCTCCCACCGTTACATCAACCGCATCATGACCTTAGAAATGAACGTAAATTTAACATACCACGTACACTTTCATACTGATCGTGCCAGTGAGAGATTTTTTCGTGAAATAGAGAAAATGGGCTACTCGGAGCTGGTGGAGGGGGGTCAGGGTGGCATTAAGCAGCACTGATTAATTACGTGTTCAGGGCCTCTTTCAGCGCATATGCCTCCCCCAGCATATGCGCTGAAAGAGGCCCTGAACACGTAATTAATTTAAAACTTGCGTGGACTGGCGGTATGGTTGTCAAACAGAGCAATAACATGAAGTACAATAAATCATAAACCGCCGCTATAGATTTTGAACCAGACTGAGGATTCGTATTTACAAAAATTGTTGGTATTTGGATAAAAAAAATGCAAAGATAATGCAAAAACATAAAAATAATTCAACCAAAAAGATTCTAAAATATATATTCTATTATAAAAAAGACCCTCTTGAGTAAAACTAAAGGTTGCAGATGAAAGTGGCGATTGGAGTTGGATAATATTATGATAAAGAGGGGGACTTATTCTGGTGGATAACGGTTGAAAACCTTGGTAGGTGTTGATTTTAATGTTTTCTCACTCCTCAAAAGTTCAAGATTCCATTTTGAACTATGATTTGGAAAGTTAACGATGCCCTTCAGGATACATGATTAAGAATTTTATTTAACCGGCCCCTGAATTCGATTCGGATAGAAAAAAAAGCATATGTGTTATTTGGAATATATTTTTCTAAGAATGCAGTCTGATATTGTATTAATCTCAATGATGTGGTACGTCTGCTTGAAGTTTTCTGTACTTTCTTACTCAATATTTATTTAATAGTTTAACAGTATGTATGGAAGAAAAGGCATCTTCACCTAAATTGTGTTCATGAATTTATATGTCATTTTACATAGGAGATTAAAATTTTTTTAGTACAATAGACTGGCAATTTAATATAGAATCTTGAACAGATTATAAATTTAATAAAACCAGCAAATAATTGTTGAAAACGCTTTCATATGAGTAAATAGCTGTTTAGTCATATTATTGCCATAGTTAAATAAATATATAAATATGGGATAAATAAACCAAGACTACAGGATTTATTATAATTTTGTACATTCCTTGTGGTAAACAGTCAAATATGAATTCGTAATTCTATAATTATTCTACATATGTGATATGTGTCTGATATATATGCCTATTTTACTATTTAATTGACATGCACTATATATGAATATAAATATATTTATATATAACTAATTTATACGGTTGCCTGTTGATTGCTTGCTGCATGAAACTTGAAGTAGCATTAAAACTGTAATGAAAACATTAAATTAAATCCTCTACAAAATTGTCTTGTCTATTTAATTGTCTATATATACATATATATATAAAATATTCTATAGATTAATATTCGAAGTCTAATTAGAGATAAAATATTCGAAGTCTAACATATGCCATTCTAATTAGATTTTGAGTATCTGTCTATATAGGATGGAATATTTAATTAATCAGGATGAGAGATTTTTACAGTTGTAATTATATGAACAGTTGGGTGAGACTTCTATGAATCAGCAGGGGGGTGTTTTCAATTTTTGCCAGTGCTATAGCTTAGGGAGCGCTGAAACCTAAGTTAAATCAAATTACATCAACGTAATTTTCAGTGACGAAAATTCACATCAGTCCTAGTCAATCAGTTCTAGTCAGTAAGTCAGTCATAGCGTAATCTCCGGGGGTCCTTCGAATTATTTTCGTAATTATTTATTGTACATATTCAGTGATAGGAAATATAGGTTAAAAGCCTAGGGAGAGGTTAGGCGTGAATTATACAAATATACCTGTCAGATGATATGCATGAACTGCACAGCGTGCCGTGGTCGATGTACATTACTTTACACTACGAGTGTTTTGCCCGATCCTTTTCAGAAAGTATTAAACTTTTAAATGTTGACATCATAAAGTAACACCTTTCTACGAACCGAAGAAACACATAAACGGTGTATTTTGTTGAAACGTGTTACTGCGAAATTGTTCCAGCTGCCATGAGCTACAATATAATTCAATACTGAAAAAATTGCGACAAATGTAATGTGAGTACTTTTGAGTAAAATGAAAAACAATATCAGTTGAAATTTTACTCGATTCGTCATTCAGCTCTTAGTTGTAATTGAACTAGAACTATGCTTCGTCAACTGGCCTCGCTCGTATAATTGATTCCGAGTTATGTTTATCCTGCCACTCGCGATTACTAGATTTTTAGATTTCTAGATTTTGGAGGTATGCCATCACTACCACAATAGTTTGATAAACTTCTTCTGAGTCAGGAACAAATGTAGGTACTATTTCACTCATAATCTTGTATTTTCAGGGATTAAATGGTCAACAATGGTATGGTCAGCAGGCATCGCGAGCTGTCAATCAAGCCATCGGTCGTGCATTATGTCATAATGAAGATTATGGAGCCATACTCTTTTGTGACGAGAGGTGTGTTTCTTAAACTTTAACATGGTCCAACCAATTTTGGATGAGAATTTCCGAAAACTCTTCCAAATTACCCTGCATAACCGTTCTAATCTGATACCTAGCTTCTGGTCTACGGGTACAGTCGCCTTATTTTGTTCAATGAATTTCCATCGGAATTCACATCTAAAATGCGTTTCCAGTAGTCAGAATTTAACCTGTTGGGCAAACAAGATTTTTATTATAAAAAAAGCCGGTAAACAGCTTGAATTTCTATTGAGCAAAGTAAGGCTACCTATACCCGTAGACTGCTTCAGGGTAAATTAAACTTTTAATATTTTTTGGGAGGGACGTCTTCAGTGAAAACGTGACTTTTCTGTCTAATTTTCCTAAATAATGAATGCACTCTGTGTCAGTCAATGTTTAAACTGTTATATGATTAGTCCTTGCACCCCCAAACCCGGTCAGATGAGATCCATTTAGGCAAGCGAGTTTGTTGAATTGTGTCCTCATTTTCCAAGGTTCTGCTAAGAAACAACAAAAGCGGAACTGCCAAAATGGATGAAGCCGTATATTTGTGCATATCCGACATTTGAGGACCTTCAGAGGGAGCTTTCACACTAGCAACCGAATTAGTGAGTTGTTAAATGAAGTATCGTGATAAATACACGAATAAAGATTCAGTCAAGTCCTTATTCCCCTCTGTTCTTAATCTAATGATATGGGCTACTATACCGCTACCGCCGGTAGGTGCATGTGTAATGGTACGGAGAGACAACAATATAAACTTAAACAAAAACTACCCCGTACTTTGGTTTTTGTGTCTTTAAGATCTGAACACCAAAGTAAAACGTTACATCTCCAAGCGCTTTTTAAATATCGATGTTGTCTATATTGTGGAAATCCATCTTTTCATGTCTAATGAACGTGCCGCTCTTAGGCCAGCTGATTCTAAAATGGATGAAGTTATCACCTGGATAGTTTTTTCAAACGTAGAAAGGACCTACTGACCAACTAACCTAGCATGACCAACTGATTGAGCTTTACCAATTTATTTAAAATGGTCAAATAGAATACATATATGTGATATATATTACAAGATGTACGGTTAAAAATTTTAGCTTTTTAGCCCTTTTTCAGCTTGCCTGAATTTTCGGCTGAATTTTGCCCGAACTTTTTAGTTCTCGAAATTTTGCCCCCCCCCCCTGTCCCGTACGGCTATGGGGACGAAGCAAGAAAACAGTTACAATTTTCCTATGGCTTTTCCAATTAGACAGCTGAGAAAAAATTGGTTCATCATCTGTAGCCTTTATCCTCCTGTCACATGAATCCTGTGCCCAACAGTATATTTTTGTTTGGATTTCAGCCAGTATTGAGGCGAGCCGATCCACAGATTCAGCCAACGAGCGAATAATCGCGTTGTTCATCATTAATTTTTCAATTCTAAGGTTTTCAATGCTTTCTGCACTATCAGATAGACACTAGATGAACACTAGACTGCGTTTGTTTCGCCACGGTATATAGAACCGCCAGGCAGCATAACCTCGCCGGTTTATGGATCGACTGTCATCAACAGTGTTGAATTCTCAGTGTTAGTAGCCCTGTCTACGCTAGCAGTCGCGTTTGCAAGATCGCCGCTCGCACACATAGCTTTAATCACCCGAGTACGAATTTCATTCGCATTCTTTCCATCAACTACCAGGAACTTTTTGTATTTTAGCCAGAGAATCGTAAAACCTTCCGCCTCAAAAAGTCTCTTTTCATTTGCGATGACCACGTTCCTAATAGGATAAGACCATCCCTTACGAATTCTTTCAAGCTGTACTAGCTAATTGCGAGTACTTCAGCATAAATATGTTCGCTACTTCATTCTCGAAAAAAAATTCTCATTACCACGCGCTCTTTTTGTTGATATTGTCGAACGCTGACTCAATGTCTCGCTTGCTCACCAAAACTCGCGTGCGCAAAAGTATTAATTATCCACGTCAACAAAGGACCGCTCACTTGTCGAAATTTTTCGAGAGGCCCACATCTCACGAATAGTTCGTTGCAAATTGTTTTCAAAAGCATTGTTATATTGTGGTTCAATATCCTATATTGAAATTATCGAGAAAATATGTAAGTATATTTTACGATTTTACGATTTCGGGTAAAAACACTGTGGTTTATTACATATATTTTTTTGTCTCAGTTCAATTTGCGTATTATTAAGTGGCTTAATATATAAAATATACAGAGAGAAACGTGTTTCCACAGTTCCGCTTGTGTTTTGGAATGAAGAGAATTTAGTTCACTTTCGAAAGCGAGGAAGTAAACTGGACGTTTTTATATTTGATTTAAGAGTGGAAATCCAAACCATACTAAAATACGGCAGCTTAGCGCAACGAATAAAGTAAAAGCGCGCGCAAATAAAAACGCGCGGGTAACTCCCCAACGCACGTACCACGTCAAATCACAGCTTTGTAATCAGAATTTTTCTGTAGCTCCTTTACATTTAGGCGTATGAATTGCCTAGAATTGAATTCTGTGTGTCACTCTCTAAACGTGTAAGAACGTGCTTCGATCTTCGTTTTTTTGTTTGAAACTTTTTAACATTATTCATGCATTTTTTTCTTTCCCGTCCGTCCAGGAATATGAATTCTAATGAATTCTAAAATTTAGCAAAAATTTAGCAAACTTTCTGATGTCTCCGAGAAGTGGCCTTCGGCAGAAATCGAACCTTCTCGTTTATGATGCCGGCGCAATGATCTTGCTATTGAGCTAGACGGGTAGCTCATAGGAACGAGCGTTATTAGTGTTTATTTTAGATGGTAATGTCGGCATCGCAAATTAAGGCGTAGGTTTGAATTCTGATAGAACAACGATACCTGACAACTTTTTTCTCGACTATTCCTGGCTTGAATTTGGGATGCATGGGTAGAACTTAATATTGCGTGCTATAAAACTTTATATAAACGTAATTGATTTACCTTCTAAATAAACCTGTTATTTTATTTGGTGAGGTTACAGACTTTTACCACTTAAAGTCCCTACATTAATACAAAATATCGTTTTTAGTGCTGGTAGTGTCCGGTGTTCATTTGATTACGCAAACGCGTCTCAAGTTTCGGAGTATTTTGAGGTAAAGATTTTTATTATCAATTGAAAAATAAGTTTGCATGCTTTTTTATTAGTTTTATTACGTTTTGATTTCTTAAACAGTTAGGCAATTTTAGGTTGTATTCTGAATTAACGCATTAATATAATTCGTGACTCCAAACAAAGGAAATTACTCCAATCGATGTTGTAAAATCCGTGAATTCTAGCATGTAGTAGGCTATGGTTATGAGATATTGAAATGTTGTCCACTTAATTCGGACATCAGAATTGTTTTAAGTTGCCTCAAGAAACGTTGAGACTTTGAAACTGATAAAGTTGCTTCTCTCGTATCTCATATTGCTATCTTAACATTGCTCGCTCAGCTGAATATGACACCAATGATGCAGCGTTTATTTGAAATTTACGATTTCAGTTTTTACGCTTCTTTGACATGAAGTATTTCTATGATTGGTAAAATTTTATTTCTCTACGATTTCAGTCGTTAAAGAGCTTAGTTAAATAGTTTTTTGAACCATTTTTCGAGCAACATTCAGATTTTAGGTTCGCAAGGCATCTAAATGAATATGAACATTCTATAAATTCTAAAAAAATTCTATAATAGCAAAAAAAAATTATCCAAAAAAATGTCATTTTTGCATTTTTTAAAAAAGTGGCATTATAGAATTTTTTTATATGTTGCTAAATGTTAGTTTTTCTTCCAAGTAAAATAACGCACGAAAAAAAATTGGGGGTCACCTTGCTTCTTTTCCAACTATCCGAGGCAATTGGTCATTTTGGAGTGAATTTTGTACTCGTATGTCGCCGTAGCAACGCACGATCTGTTACTAAAACTAATACGATTCAAAAGTAGAGACATCAAAATATATAAAAACCCCCATATCTCTTGAATAATTCATAAAAATGCTTTGTTTGAAGTTGTCAAAGTGATGACCAGTGGAATTTTTGAAAACTGTATCGAGCCACCTTAACTAGGAAAAGATTTAATTGTAAAATATAAATATTGTAAGGCTCGGCTAGTCATATTAAGCCAAAAAACGATTTCAAAACATTCAACAGTAGTAGTTTTTTTCCGACCACCGTTTCATTCGCCTTGACGTGAATATTCTAAGGTCTATTTGAAGAATATTTTCTTTTTCAGTAATTTTGTCTAATAAATTTAAAATTTAAAATTAAATAATAAATTTATCCATTCTTATCAGCATATCTTTCAAATGCAGGTAGCCGTCCTTCAAAGTCGAAGTAGGGATCAGATTCACAACATATTTTCATAAACATCACAACTCATGGAGAATTTCAATAATTTCTGTACAGTACGTGTAACAAGTGTAATACAGTAAATTGTAATCGTAGATGTTTAATTTGTCCGTCATTGATATTTTTATAAATCTTTTTGCTTTAGAAAACAGTGATCTGCAAGCTCCTCGCGCCTCCTCGGGCAATACTCCATGTAAGTAAAGATATGAAATCTATAATAATTGAGATAATCGGGAGTTGGGTCGCGTATCCCTGTATTCGGCTACCCCGAATTTATTTAAATTGATTTAAAATTTACTTGCTTTCTAAAAATACAAAAAAACGTTGAAAATTCAAACCGCGTCCTGTCTGTCGTGTTTCCATTTCGTGTTTCTATTTCTCCGTTATATAGTCACGAAGAAAGGCAGAGCGCCACAGAAGTCTACGAGATGGACAACACCACAACGTAGGCTGGTGATGCTCTTTTGACAGGCACATCCGGGAAAAAATGAGTGTGAGCGTGATGATGAAACGTAGCTGGAAAAACGTGAAGGATTTTGTGAAGAATTTAGAGCAAAAAAATGGGTGCTCATCCTTGAGGTTTATGCATAACTCAACTCATTTATGATGTAAATGATCACATTTACATATTAGATATCATTATTATACAGGGTTTTCAGATGATTATAGGGCATTATCAGCCACGATGTCCAGGCAGACTTCACTATACAATACAGATGCTATCATTGGTTCAGTATTCCTCTTATAGAGGCATAATCTGCATGAAAAAACGCACTGACCGGCTTGGCGGTTTAGGAAATCTGTATTTTCATGAAATGCAAGGATGGCGCTCGATGACCAATAAAATTGATATACACATTCAAAGGCAAGGAAAACTAGAGAGATCCTCCAACTACGCTGGTTTTCTTTACAACCAGACATTTGGGAAAACACTAAGAGAAAACAACACGTTCACCTTTGCACTGTCTCCAAGCTCGAACACAACCATTTGTCCCGTTGCTAACTTGAAGCTTTATTTCCGCATTGCAAAAGCCATGGGTGTAGATCTGTGACTGGGTTATCTCTTCCGGTCTTCTGATCAGCATAGGCGTATCGCTCCCAACCCCTTGAAGAGCCCTCTCGTAGCCAAACGCCTCCGAGAACACCTCACAACGTTATCCCTTCACGCAGTAGAGACTACGCACAGTCTTCGGGCAGGCTGTTCCATCATGCTATCTCTGTTAGGTGCTTCTGATGAGGAGGTAGCTGAGCATGTGGGCTGGAAGAACCTCTCAATGGCTCGCTATTATATGAAAACGCGACAAGTGATGCACAAGTAGTATTATCCGGGGCTTATTGAACCCCATTTTATGCAAGAGGAAAATTAGAATTGATAATTAGAATTTATAATTAGGATTGATAATTAGAATTTATAATTAGAATTTATAATAAGTATTTTACGAAGATGATCCGAAGATGATCCGATGAGTTTCGGATTTATCATAAAACAACGCAAGAGGTTTTCGATGAATTTCGGCATGAAGATTTGTTTAAGTGCATGATATGTCATCTTAATTATTCATAGGTTATCATCAGGTTATTTATTTCCCGTTAACGAAATAACGAGAGGTTTTTGACCATGCGCCATTTTGTTTCATGATAGCGAAACGTGCAGACCAGTTAATTTTAGATGTTTTGTGTGGAAATAATGCAGAATTAAGTTTGATCACTTTAAAATTTTCTTTCAAAGGGATTTTGGAAAACCATGAACAGACATATTAAGATATGATTTGTCGTATTGTTAGAAATAATGTGTTTAATTTGTGTTTGGTATATTAAGAGTTGTGGCCATTGCATTTTGGTAGAATTGTGGCCTATTTGGCTTTAGTTTATAAATTAAAGGATCATTGTAACCGGGAAACATTATGTCAAGCTGTTCGAATAACTGGTGATGATTTGAAACACATTAATTTGGCAAACTACGAAATTAAACTGTCCTGGTTTCAACGGGTAATATTGTGGCTGAAAAGCGGCGAGATAGTTTGAATATCGATAATCGTTTATAATTAACCTAAAGGCCGAACACATTGAAATCGCACGTCTTCAAGTCAATCGCGTGTCCAAGAAAACGCGTTTATGCTGAACTTTGAATCCTATGTGAATCCTTTGTATCCATGTCCACAATCCCGACAATGTCTTGTAACTGCATCCTGATTCCTGACTGACTGTTTGAAACGTATTGCAATTCGATTCGCTTTATATCGAATCGTGTTGCCAAAGGTACTAAAGCGTTCGAAAGCGTGTTTTCCTCTTGCATAAATTGGGGTTCATTAAGGCCCGGATAATACTATCAACTTGCTATTTTGAACAGTAGAACTCAATGTCTTGATATATCATCTGATCAAAGTTAACTTTGAGAAGGTTGTTTTGCCATCTAGAAAAAAAGATTATTTCTACACTGCATGTTGGCGAAAAATAGACTTACATTTATTAGATGAAATACCAAAGATGAACTTTTAGCTGGAAATTCATTTCTAGAAGCTTCGTAAACCTCGTACTCCCTTTTACCTTGATTTTGGGTTGGGTAAAAGGCCCTGGGAACGAGGTTAGGGCTTGAGGCCGGGGGGAGAAAGGAGAGGCTCTGGAATTCCCCGCAACCTCAACCTCCCCTATAAAGTCTCAAAAGGTCTTGGGAACATGGTTGGTTGTATTTCCCGTTTTTCCCGTCGTATTATCGCAGTCATTTTTAGTCTAAAAAGAGCAATGTCGGATGGATAAATAAAATTTGTCAAAAAAACGAAGAAGTCTTTGGCTTTAAAGTTGCATTTTTTCAGCTAGAAAATCGAATTTTTCTTATAAAAAGTGCAAAAACACTTGCTAGATCCTAGCGCATGCGCATTAAAAAGTGTGTTATACTAGAAAGACTATTTTGTCAGTTCAATCATGATTTTATTCATAAGTGGGCTTTTATTGTAATAGGAGTTATTTTAAAATTCAAGAAGCTGATGTCTATGCATCTGTTGATTTAGCATAGCGCTCAGGCATACAAATTAAAACAATAGGATAATTTCTATAATGTCACCTTTTTGGGACACACTGTATTCAACACGACATTCAAAATGTATTCAACACGATATTCAAAAACAATATATGACTAATTTCCATCATTCAAACCGGCGTTCGAAATTCAAATTTTGTTTACAATCCTTTCCAAGCTTTATTAAAAAGATCAAACGAAAAATAAAAAAAATAAAGAAAAAACAAACCAAAACAAAACCAGGGGGAATTTCAACTCCATCGCTCACGCCGGAGTAATAACCGCACGCAGTCGCAGGGAACGAATAATAATCCCACAATCACTACATAGAGCAATGTCATATTTACTAAGCGTTCGGCTTTTGGAGTCGCACGCTTAGTAAATCGTGGCATAATGAAATACCATTCTTGCTCACGGGGTTCCATACCTTTGATATTTTAGCGTCAACACAAATGGTTGATATTAGATAAAAGCTACGATTATAAGGTACAACTATGTGCGTTTTAGGCAAGAACATAAATCATCATCATCAAAATAAACTCATTGAGATCATTAATTTATGTATTATCGTTCGAAAAAAGGTTAAATAAAATACAATGGTGTCCTAATTTGCCACAAGTTATGCTGGTCTAGAGCTGAGGAAGAGTGTTTCTGAAATTTTTGAGCCGACGCGGAATTCTTTTTCCGAGGAGATAACGAGTGCTGATCATTATTCCTCGCTAGTGTTCTCTGTGCATACTGTAGTTCTTCTCTTTTTAGTTGATATTGCAACTGTTCCAAACCCCGTAGTTGGGATCGGGATGTTTGCGCCACATTCTGCGGATCTTTGGATGATTGACTTGCTTCAATTGAAGGCGATTTTCTTCCTCCTAATATAACGATAGAATGAAAGTCTAAGATCGAAACGGTGACAGCGGTACACTAAATAAAATCGATTTCACATTTAAGCATCGCTCATAATGTCAAAGCGGGCACGCTACGGAGGAACGAGAAATTTTCGTGTTCTCAATAATTGTGGTTTTTCTCAACTTTTATAATATAGGTTTAAACTTTTGTTCTTCAAAAATTTATCAAAAATGTTCTGAAGACGCTCTGCAAAACAATTTCATTTCATACATTTCATACAATTTCATTTCATACATTTCATTTTCTTTCATTTCATAAATACCAGGACGCATTAAACGAATGTTTAGTCTACCCGTTTTCGTTCGATACATTTTCGCGTATGTTTAACTTATATCTTATCAATGAACACGTATGTTTTGTTTCAACAGTTCCCTATTGAAATTTTCCGCCATATCCTTTTTACCGGCTGGCATGCGCGGTGTTCTGGGTTTTCCCACGATGTTCTGGGGCTCGGTCACGTCTACATGTGGTATATAGTGACGTAATCATCGTGGGAAATTTTGCATAGTTAATCTTTTGCGAACAACAGAAGCTACACTGTAAAAACAGAAGGGTTAAATTAACCCCTTTTTATAGGTCGCAACTAATTTAAATGGGTCATTTTAACCATTTAATGAAATGGTTAGTATGAAATTACCAATAAAATATTGGTCAATTCGACCTAAAGCCTAAATGGTTATATTTTTGACCACCTTTAAATGGTTAATTTAACCATTTTCTCGGTGGTAGCACTAGAAAACCTATAAAATGACCAATTTTAAATTGGTCATGTAGGTAACCCTTTTGAAACTGGTCGTATAATTAAGCTTTTTGAAATTGTTCATCAATGGGAGGCAAATCATTACTTGGTTTTCAAGCTAACCAATCGTAAATATCTTAAGAATCATAAAAATCAGTTACTATGCACTAATTACTAAACATGTAATACCGTATCCTTTGCATTCAACCCTATAATTGTGCTCCTGTTAATACCCCAATTACTGCATAAGGCTGTTGATGCCCCAAACCACTTAGTCTATTTAATCATTTAAGTCAATATTTTATTTCAATATGGTCAATATTTAATTTCAATAATTACATTATTTACATTGTTTTTGGTGGGAGATACCTTGGGGTAACATGATATACTGTTCTGACAAACAGATGCCTTTACTATGTGCATTGGAAGGTACACCTTTAAATTCTCTGGCATTAAAAGAAAGGAAGCTGCACCAGTTGGTCTTCGCACCTCATAGGATTGGAAATGATTTGAAAACATCATTGTTTCTAGCCTCTTCACAACAAAGTACATCTTTCCTGCATCGAATATAATAATCTCCATAATGGATGCAAATTCAGGGAGATCATTTTTGTATCCGATGAACACAATGGCTCCAACTCTGTACTTAGTGCCATGGAGTGACACAGTTGTTGACCTAAGGGGGGAATTAAATGTTTACTTATACGGCTATAGACCCATGGTCCCACTTAGAATACTAACTTTTTACCTCACTGAATATCAATGCAATGATGTTCAATATATCACTATTGATATCCATAAACAATCATACGCATACGCGTCATGACTATACGAAATGTGTATTCTATATTCATTCACTAGCCTCCATTAATTTATTTCGACTAATCACGTATATACATTAATGCCATCCTAATCCAATAGATATACCAAAACATCTTTTCAAATACCTTTATATTTCAACAATTAAGCTCTCAGCTAATTTCCCATTTTAATCAACTGTTTGAGTTTTGCTAAAACTTTTTTTCAAGTAATCCGTCCTGGGCTTGGGAAGACATAATGTATTTGAGGACACTCTCAAATCATAATCATGCATCGTATTAGAATGTTGAAATAGATCTCTCAATCTTCGAGGAGCTATAGATTATTAATCTTTTTAAACATAAGTCTGGATTTTATTTGAACTCTACGCTCTTCAAGGGTTATCCAACCCAGTGCATTGCGTGCTAGTAAAGATTGCCAAGACTCATTTTTAAAGTTCATAATTATTCTAGCCGCCCTATTTTGCAACTTTTGAAGACGATCACTGAGCGTCTTACCGATCACATCCCAAACTTCACAACAATAATCGAAATGAGGCTGAACTAAGGCATTGTATATCAAGACTAAAGTATTCCGATCAACAAACTCCTTAGCCTTTTTAATAGCACCAATTCCTGCTGATATTTTACTTGCAATAAAGTCAATGTTCTTCTTCTAATTTAAATGCTCATCTATTTGTACTCCTAGTGCTTTTGTATGTTTAACTCTTCTTACTAATTGATTATCAATTTTGATTGATGGTTGAACATTCAAATTATTTATCTTATATGTTGATCCAATCAAACGTATTCAGTTTTCTAGTTTTAGCAATATTTAAATTAAGCTTGTTTGCTGATAACCAAATTCGGACATTCTCTAGGTCCTCATTGGCCCTTTTCTTCACTTCATCCAATGTTTGTCCTGCGGCTGTTAAACTAGTGTCATCCGCAAACAGTCTGGGTGTTGTGTATTTGAGGCAATTTGGCAAGTCATTTATATAGAGAAATAATAGAAGAAGGCAAGTATACTCTCCTGGGGAATGCCACAAGTTATTTTTTTTGTTAAGAAAACATATCATGAAGATGGCATTTTTGAGTTCGATCAGTCAGATAATTACGCAATAGTGTAGCGCCGATTTTCCGAAACCGTATATTTCAGGTTTTTTTAAAAGAATAGCGTGATTTACGGTATCAAAACCTTTCTTGATATCAAGGAAAACAACTAAATTATAGTGTCCACGGTCCATATTAGCACCACTCATTTGTACAATCTATTAGAGTGGTAGTTGTTGAAAGGCCTAAATCCAAATTGATATGCAGACTTGATTATACATAGTCCGTTCTATCAGTTTGCTGACAACTGGTAATATCGAAATAGGCCTATAATTATCAAGCACGGTTCGCTGTCCCGTTTTAAATAAGGGAATTACTCGTGCTTCTTTCCATTCTAATTGGAACTGACCTAGAATGATTGATTTATTAAAAATTTTTGTCAAATGTTGCACTACCGCAGCAGCAGCTATTTGAAGAACTTTTGTGGAAATTTTGTCAATACCTGTAGCTTTTGAAATAGGCAATTTGGCAATAAGCCTGTAAACCGTAAGCTCATTTAGAGTCTCGAAAGAAAATTTCCTTACTGATTGCCTTTTAGTAATAAAGTCCTCAAAGTTAATACCGCTATTATGACAGATTGTTTGAGCAAGCTTGGGACCTATGTCTGTAAAATAATCTTTAAAAACCTCTTTTAGCTCTTCTGTCGAGGTGATAGATTTTCCAGATAATTTTATTTCATGAATTGCATTTTTATCCTGATTCGGTCCTAAGATATCATTAATTGTTTTCCAAGCATGCTTTGGATTATTTTTATAATTTCGAGACTTACGCCTGTATTCAAAAAGCTCACTCACACTCATTGAGTGTGACATAAATATTTTGTTAATGCTGATCAATGAGAAAGTTCTTTCTGAATAGATGGTAAGATATAAGGTGAATCACTGAAAATCAAGCCCCTATTTGTCTTGAAATGCCGCCATTGAAACGTTATGAGAAGATTAAGATCTCTCACTCAATAAATTTGAGTGAGAGTGAGCTTTTAGAATACAGGCGTTAGTCGCATAATAATCTCTTTTTGCATGACGTAAAGCAATATTAGCTGCATTTCTGGATGACTTGTATGCATTCCAATCACTTACATCATTTGTTCTTATCGCTTTACGCTTTAAATAAACTCTTTTAAATAACTTAGCTTTGACATCTCCATTTATCCAAGGCACCCTGCCCTTTTCTTACTCTCTTCTTTCTGAGTGGGGCATGCTTGTCCAGTGCACGGTTCATCAACATTTTGCTTATAATCCAATTTAGTCTAAGGTAGCATGTACAAGTCATTCAAAAAACTTTCCAAATTAGAATTTTTAAAACTTCTATACTCAATTAAATTTCACGATCTAGTTTTTGGAACACAATTGAGTTTTCTTATTGCATAGATAAGACTATAATCGCTTATGCCTAGATGCACCATACCTGAGGAAACAATTTTCTCAGGTGAAGATGTAATGCATATACATCTAACAGTAACTTCGAGCTATTTGTAATTCGAGCTGGTTGATCGATTACTTGAGTCAACTGATACAGTTCCAAATTTTCCGAAGCTTCTTACTAAGAGATACATTCGAAACAAGCAAATTAATATTTAAATCACCTAAGATATAAATCTCCTTATTTTCATTATCATTCAGTTGGATATGTCTTTCAAGTTTTAGAAGATCTTCCATTTTGGAATTAGGTGGTCTATATAAGCACTTGAAATAATAAAAGACTGACTATTTGCTTGCTTAATTTCTAAAGCAACAGCTTCAAGGTCATTTCGAATTAGATCAGGACTCTTTAGATATTACGTCTTATAATGCAAACACCTTCCCCATTTCTGTTCCGATCGGCCCGCAATATGTCATAACCATCAACATTAACTAGCTCGTCAGAAATAGAGGCTCAGTCAAGCCGGGTGTCAGAGATAGAGGAGTCAAGCCGAGTTTTGTGTGTAATCCTTCAGATGACGATCCAACGCCCTTCATACCAGCGACTTCTGAAAACTAGGGATCCAAGGATAGTGCAAAGTTTTCATGCCCTGTAATACCTAAGCAACACGTTTTCCCAACATAAACATTTTGACTTATGCCAGTAAAAATATAAAACTAGGTTAAACATTAATCAAAAGGAAATTATTCAAAGTACTCAAGTTACGTTAGCCGCGGATACTGTCACTATTAAATTATAATTTTAGTTGCCCATGTAAACCGGACGCGATTTTCTCAGTTTAGTCTCTTTTCTTCGTCAAACAACTGTGACTACATTCACTACATTTATATGATGGCAACAATTTATCGTCATTTCATAAGAATAGCCAAAATAGTTGCGTTGTAAATAATGTAAATAAACCGCGGTGCATATTATGTCTATGATGTGGATACTTCGACGCGTAGCTAAATCGATACAAAACAATATACATATAATCAATACTGTATACCGCCAAAATGATTTGATTACTGCACAAAATGTCCGTTTTGTATAGTATCATTTATGTACTGTATGCAGAATACCAGGTATCGACTTGCTATATATCGACATAATATATATTCGTCATTCGTGTAAGAGATCTATCAATACATAAACAACACAGCGTCGTTTCTTCCTAACCTCTTATGAAGCTCTATTTATGGAATAAACCTTCCAAATTATATTTGTGTCGAATTGAATGCTCGTAATTCATAACATAAGTTGATAAATTGCGTAGATTCTCAAAGAATTGCACGATTTTTACGCTCGGAATGTTTTGAAGCAATGCTCGTCGCTCCTCGTTTCTTTGCGTATATTAGGCGACATAGCTTTATCACGCTATTTTACGTGGATCAGGACAGCAAGGGATATGCATTCTATATATGGTCTAACAACCGACAGTGGTTAATACGGTTACATCACAATCTATATGTTTCAATTTAGCAGATTTAGAATGTTCTACGGCAGTCGTGATTCTTAAGATTCTATAAACACGAATAAAGATAGTATTTCAAAAGCGTCAGAAAGTACACTCACCATTCTTTTCGAAGGTCTTTTATAAACTGACTTTCGGGATTGTACGTATTTAAAGGTTTTCCGTGACTGCCGAGATCCAATTTTAATGCTGACAACTGCAGAAAAGCAATTACAATAAGAAAATGCAATCATCTCCTGCTTGTCACACAATTCTGGACAATAGATGTTGCTAATAATTCTACCTCGGGTAGTTTATCTGCGACAAACATTAACTTATACTTTCATAAACGATCTCAGCAGAAACTGGACTTTCTGTCTAATTACACCTAATACAAAAATTTTGGACATTACGCCCTCAAAACAGAAAATATCAAACAATTATGAGTAATTCTTCTTTATCCACGCTATCGCCTGTAGGCTGTGTTACATGCATTCACATTCATTGAGTGCGACATACAAATTTTGTTATCACTCATCAAAGAGAAAGTCATTTCTTAATCGATACAAAGATTTAAGGTAAAACACTGAAAATTAAGCTCTTATTCGAGTGGAAATACCGCCTTGGAATGTTATATGACTTAGATTGAGATCTCCCACTCAACAAGTTCGAGTGAGCTTTTAAAATACTGCCATATGGCTTTCACAACTGATATCTTAGGTTCAGCATCATAGCTGCTCGCTTTGTTGCTCAGTGAATCACCCAGGATGTTACTGACATTCCTGCCCTCCGGCTGATAACTAATCAAATCCTCTCTTAACTGTTTGCGGTTTTAAAAGCACAACAAAAATTTCGTTCGATCTTGCATTAACCAACAACACGGTAAAGTACAATTGTAAGTGGGTTCACCGATAAGCTTGAGACTGTGATACATTTACACGTTATAATTTGTTTTAATGTTCATATATACTTAAAGAATGTCTTTATTATTTCCATTTTGCATCGGCGATCTAGTTATTTAACAATATCATCGAACTAACCTGGTTTCCTATATAATGATACAGCATCAATATTTCTCTCTAAACCCGTTTTGTAAAATTCGTCAGCCTGGTGTCTTGCTTGGGTTACCTGCAGCTTGAGATCAGAGTTCTGCTGCATTAAAGCATTCATTTTTTCGTTGGCCCGACGATTCTCAGTTGTCAACTGATAGTGAAGTTGATCAATGTTTAGTTGCTTCTGACGAACCTGAAAAGAGAAAGAGCGTTGATCATCAATGCTCGACACAGTTTTCTAAAATCCAGGAAGGTAGCGCTCGAATACCAGCCCTTTTACACTATACACTAAATTTATCGGCATTCCTCTGGCGAGAAAACGAAGGCTCTGGGATAATCCAAACCAGAAATGATTCTGATTGGTTGTTCACGCCGTTTTAATTTTGAAATACAAAAAACCGTTACAAATCGGAAGCCAGGATTTCTGGCTTCCGGTTTGGATTATCCCAGAGCCTTTGTTTTCTCGCCAGAGGAATCGCGGGCTCGGGGGACGAGATTGGGCACGGATGAAATTGATACCAGTGCCCAGTTCTATTAGTTTTCAGGCTACCAATACAAAGGCCGAGCACGGATGAAATGGTACGGGTACTCATTTTAGCTGTGTCCTGTCGATAAATTGAGTGTGGTGTAAAAGAGACTACATGTATCATCAGCCCTCCTGTCCTGGGGCCGGTTGTTTGAAAGGCGTTTAGCTTAAACAGTGGATAAGTGAAAAATGGAAAACCAAATCATCTATCTGCTCTAAAAATCTATATGTAAATTATGAATTCTACCTATATATATTATTAATTTCAAATAATTATTCTGTATTTTTTTTGTCAGAGTGAAATAAAGTTGTGTTGTGTTGTGTTGTGTTGTGTTGTGTTGTGTTGTGTTGTGTTGTGTTGTGTTGTGTTGTGTTGTGTTGTGTTGTGTTGTGTTGTGTTGTGTTGTGTTGTGTTGTGTTGTATTTATTGAACAACCGAGCTGAAATATTTCGATGTAAATAGTTTAATTGTCATTTGAGGTCATTCACAACATTACCAGAAATTTGCGACATGATAATTTGCATATATACTAATTTGCATTTAACTTTCAGCATAATGGCCTTCAACTTTTACTATTAAATACATATAGTAAATACACAAAATCTAAAAATGCCGTTGACCTAGATCTTGCCCACGGTTTGCCGACCTCTGGATCAATAAAACAGCCGTTTCCCAACGTTTTAATGATCGAATTACTTACCTTAGGTATTTCTACGTTCGGCCAAATGATTGTGAACAAATGGGTATATAGCCTTCGTATTATTCAAGTTACAGATAAGACTGATAATATTTTTTAAAGTGATTGCAGTAAAAATCCGAGCCGTACAAGAAAATTTATACAAAAATACGAAAGACAATATCTTCAACAATTTTTTTGGTACATTATACGTCAATTTATTAACTATCTGAATCGAAATATTCGAATCAATGTGAGCGATTTTAAAAGTTCGTGGACAGAACACGGACAAAACTTTGAGCAATATATCTTTAAATTTGGCAGAATGCAGAAATGCCCAAGCTAAAAAACTCTGTCACCAAAACGTTTCTAAACAGCTGCTCTACCGATCTAGAGGTCGGCAAACAGTGGGCAAGGTCTAGGGCAACGGCATTTTTAAGTTTTGTATAATTTCCTAATGTATTTTATAGTAAAAGTTGAAGGCCATTATGCTGAAAGTTAAATGCAAATTAGTATACATGCAAATTATCATGTCGCAAATTTCTGGTAATGGATGTTTAGCTTATCCGCCGTTTAAGCTAAACACCTTTTGACCTACAGGAAAAAGAAGTTTTGTTAGGACTCCTTTCTTGGGAGTTTGGATACACGAAAAATAGCCTATAGCGCTTGCATGGTGTGTCTGGGAAAGAAAAACAACATTTTGATTCGAAGAAAGTCTAACAACTCAAAATATATGAAACAGCTGACATTCGTAACAGAGTAAATCGATGTTTAGTACAACTGTTAAGCCTGTTTTCCACTAGGCGGAATTTTGCGCGCGGAGCGGAATTTTTCTTTGTTTTTCTCACATTAGCTCTACATGAAGGCGCACAGATAATAGAAAATTCCGCTCCGCGCGCAAAATTCCACTTAGTGGAAAACAGGCCTTAACCATTATTTTCTGCGGTGGATTGCCGTAAATAACGCAGTAACTCATGCACTCTTTAAACATTACTTACTGACCAGCCACATGAAACATAGACTTACAAGGAGGTGGCTATATATGTTAGTGCTAATAAATACACACATGCAATAAAAATACGAGGACATATATCACACACATTCTCAGCGATGACGGATAAAAATACAAGTGCGTTATAACAGCAGTCTATAGCCATTTAGAGAAGAAGACTCACCTCTTCTGAAGAAAAAATGAAGTAAACCTTGAAGATGAACGATAGTTGCTTCACATTTTCTCAATTGAGATGTAAGGTCTAATTTCTCTTAGCGTAAACTACCTAAAGACGTGCAAGAATATATATTGTGAAATAGACATTTATATTATATACCTTATCTGAAATTCTAATCGGTTAATACAGAATGCCTTTTCTGCTAAATTCTGCTAAATTCTCAGACATATACTGATTTGTATTTTTGTGATTGAATTTAAATTGAGTCAGTTGTTGGAATTATATATATTAAAGCTAGAACATTAATAAATCTATGAAATAGACATTTTCATACTGAGGAAGGTTTTATATGAAAGAAACATCAAATTAAATAATTCAAACAATAGGTAGGTGCATGAGTGAAAAAAATTTGATTAAATATTGACCATGTTGGATCAGAGTTATTAGTTTCTATTAACTGCGGTTTGGATGAAACTGACGATGTTTCAGAGCATGTGATGCAGGGGATATTTCTGATGTTAGATTTCAACATTGATAATGGCGCCTGTTCATCTCTTCCATGTTGTTCTCCACATTTGAAATAAAATTCCTGCGAAATAACAAGAAGTTTGTGATCGACCTACTTTAGTATTTTACTCTAATGCCAGATAATTTTACTCATCAGTGGAAGAGTACTATAAGTTAATAAGTTAACAAAACTATCTGTCAGTGTCTCTTGTTAACCCATTAGCTTGCAATGCACCTAGATGTGGCCCACTATTGTATTTTAGGTCTGATAGGTGAATAACTTACAGCTGTTGTTCCCTGACAGTTTGTATTGGATTCACATTGTCCCTGCATGCGGCCTTTGATCAATACATCGTCCCAACCATTTGGACTCTTGCAAGAAACCATAAATATTGTGTAAACAAGATGTTTCTTGACATTCAACAGCTTTCACAGCAACTTTGTAAACAGGTTGTAACAATTTCAACACTTTATAAAGTTGTATATAAATCTGCTGGAGATTTTTTACAAGTTGTTTATAAGCAAATAGTAAATACCTGTGATAGAACAAAGCTTCCTTCCTTGCAATTTGAACATGGACATCGCAATTTTCCTTGTGTTAGTTTCTTGCAAGTTTCACAAAAAACAAAGAAGAAACTTTGCTTGCCTGATATGAGAGAGTATGAAAAATTTTGATTATTAAACAAACCCTGGTGTTAGAAAGAGCAGGGTTTTGTATTGATGGAGTATAATATAAGATTAGGAGCGTAAGATATATTAAAAGACATGTAGGGAAGGGTCAAGGGTGTATGGAAGGGGGGACTATACAAGAGGTTAAATTGAGGGTCTATTAGAGAAGAGGTATAAAGGGAAGGCTATATTAGGGAGGGAATATGGGGAGGGGTTATTTTAGAGAGTTATGTATTTTAGAGGTGCATTATAGTCATGAGGGACATTCTACTAGGGAGGGGTATAATTAAGAGGGGGTTATTTTGGAGTATTGTTTAGAGACTGGAGTATTAATTAGAGAAGTATATTAGAGAAGGGTATACTTACAGGGTGGGGTATAAAGAGCGGGTTATTTTAAGAGTATTATTTAGAGACTGGAATATTAGAGAAGTATATATTAGAGAGAGGCATACTTATAGGGAGGGGTACAGGAAAGGAGTTGTTAGAGTGTTAATTGGAGAGAGATATTAGAGAATAGGTATGAAGGCACATTAATTGGGAGGGGCATAAAGAGGGAGTTGTTATAGGGGGTTAATCAGAGAGAGGGTTATTCAATAAGAGAGAAATCCTACAAGGGAGGGGTATGTGGAAGGAATTGTTATAGATATAGAGTTGGTTGAAGAGAGGGTGGGAGGGAGATATATACAGAAGGGTTTAGAGTCAGACAATTGGAGAGAGGGGTTTTTAAAGAAGATTGAGGTGTATTTGTGAGGGATATACTACAGAAAGGTATAAAGAAATGGTTATCACAGTGGGGATGGATTGGAGGTTTTTATTAAGGGTGTGTATTAAACCAGGAAGGACACTAAAAAGAGAGTGGTCACACCATTGAGAGGTTTATAAAAGATCTCATCCCCACCTGATTGTTGAGATTCACCATCTTTATCCTCGTCATCCTGTGTCAGTTTCACTTTTGTCAAACCATAATTCGCATTGTAATTAAGTTGCATCAACTGAGAGCTGGCCAGATTTCTGAACAGCATGAATGACGCTGTGGTTCATCTCTGCATTCTACAAAAAAAACAGTTTCCGATCACCAAATGCCAGATTATTGTTGACTGATTCCCATTTAAAAACTTTTTACATTATTTTAACTTTGCCTGCACAGGTGAAACAGCGTTTAAAAACCTGCAGGTGCAGGTGTGACAGGCTTCAAGAAAGAGCAGAAAAGGCCATAGCTAGAAGCTTAAATGGGATGTATATGCATATATTTGTCTTATGCCCAACTGATTTCTTTTGTAAGCTATTGTTCCTATGATATGTAAACATGAATGTACATACACCCTTCAATTAAGCTGTCCAGCTACAACAAAGTCAATGTAATAAAAACCGCCTTCAGGAATACAAATAATGCCATGTTCTGAAACTACACTTTCTGACGCAAGTTTAGAAAGCAGAGTGATTGTCAATTGTGGTTCTTTCACAAACTTTCTACAAATGCGGCCGGCACATAAAAGCCAAACTGAATTCTTCTCTAATTTAAAAGCCCAGCTGTGCACAGCCCATCTATTGTAATTCTCCAGTGTTTGCAAAGAAATGTTTCAATGCTGAGGTTATAGTACCAAATATTCTCACATTCCAGTGAATATTTATGTAAATGCATTCACAATGGTGGTTGGTTCACTTTGAACCATATTCTAAAACATTTGAAGCCTCGCTACAAAGTAAAATCTGAGAATTTTGAGAATCATCTGAAAAATCCTGGAAACTGTCCATGAGTGAGAATTCACATAAATTTGGGTCAGGTTTTATTGGAGAAAGATGCTTTGAAAAATGTCTTAAAAGATCATTTTATCAAGATTCAGACACTGTGATATTCTGAGATGGACTAACTCAAGCAAGACAAGCTGTATCATAATCTATCTCAGATTTACTATAACGAAGATGGTCGCTTTAAACATCAAAATCCCGAACTAAAAAAAAACTCATTTATGAAATCATTTAAACATTTCACAGTGAAGCTTTTGTTATTTCTTTGAAAATTGTTATATAAATCACATTAAAAGCTTGATCTTTTCCTAAAAATCACTCACCCCGAGTGTTAATTCATCGGGAAATTCTCGACCGGTAAAAATGATTTTAATTCCAGCAGTTTTGACATTTCTCTTGCGAGCAATTTCGCGTTTTAGTTGAGCGATTGTCCAGGATGGTTGAAAACGAAGAAGGTTAAACGATTTGCCGTTGAAGTTTATGGTCACGTCGTGCGACATATTCAGTGGACATATTTCGCTAGAACGATGGTTGCTTCCACTTACCAAAACAAACGTCCTCTTTTTTCCTTGAAATTTCACTCTTTAGCAGTTTTCTGATCTCTCGATACACTGGAATATCTAGCGTTTTCAAAGTTGGCAATCAAAATCGGACCTGAGATTAGGTTAGGATTAGGTTTAACTCAATTTAACAATAAACCTAAAGCGTAATCTTAACCCAAATCGTAACGTAATCTCAAATAATAAATTAGTCTGACGGATAGTTTTTTTCTCATTAACTACCAAAACAAACTTCCTCTTTGCCTTGATATTTCATACCCCCCCTGACAGTTTACTGATCTCTCGATAAACTGGAACGTTTAGTGTTTTCTATGTTGGCAGTATTATTCCATTCCGATTCTTGAGATTAGGTTAGGATTAGGGTTAAATTTAGGATAAATTTTACCCCTATTAAACTATAAACCTAAAACATAATCTTAACCCCATTCCTATTAAATTCGTGTATTCAGGATTAGTGAACATGAAGTTCTATATTAAAAACTATCGCTGCATCGTCAGCACTTTTGAAAGTGTCAATTCGCATTTAAATAGAACAAGTTAAAGCCTTCAGAGTCGACTTTAATTACTGCAAAATAACATTTTTAAAAAATCTACTGGAAATATCAGAAAAAAGTTTATTTTAGCTCCAGCACACTCCGTTCTCTCCGTCAGCTCGTAACATTTTCAAATTCATTTCTGCAAAAACCGCAACAAATTCCAGGAATTCCTGAGTCCAGACCAGTCCTGACAGGAAAGGACGCGTCTTATGCAAACACTTCATAACGAAGAGATATTTGTGTTCATCAACTGATCATTTTGGAGAAGATTTCGAGAAAATACAAACACAGACATCTTGATGAACGAACACTGTATCTATATTCAGTCTATACAGCGAGGTTTATACTACAGAGCGACAAACAACACAGAACCTGCTTTATTATTACGACACAAGAACGACGTGAAATATGGCTTCATATATACAAGGCTACGATGAGGAAAGGTTTGTGAACCAAATCGATCGAAATTTTCATTGCCAGATTTGCTTCAACGTCTTGAAAGAGCCGGTTATGTGTTCGAGAAACCAGCATTCTTTTTGCCGTTGTTGCATTAAAAAACATCTGGAAAATTCTCAAACATGTCCAACGTGTGCTGATGAACTGACCGTAGAGACTTTGGCCGAAGCACCGCGAATGGTTAAAGATTATTTGAATGAATCAAAAATTCGTTGCGTTTACACCGACAGAGGTTGTCAAGAAGTTGCAGAATTACAGCACCTTGACCGCCATGAAGATACATGTGGATATACACCAGCCGTTTGTACAAACCAAGGCTGTGGTTTAATTGTCAACAAGCGTGATCTTATTCACCATGAAAGTGAAGTCTGTGAATTCCGAAAGTTAAAGTGTCACTCGTGCGGAGAAATAACGAAAACTTTGGCAGATATGGAGGAAAGAATGGCGAAGAATAATCTAACAATTGAAACTAAAATAACAAATTTAGAGCGAAATGTTGCACGGAATATCGAGAAAAACACTGCAGAACGGGCAGATAAACTCGAAACGGTTAACAACAAAGTCGATGGATTGAAAACAGCTTTGGTCAGAGCTTTTGATGAAATGAAGGACGTTCTTATAACGATGGAGGGCAAGATAGAAGAAAACACAAGAAAAGTAAGAAATAGACCAAGTGGTGATAAGGAAAATACAATTGTTGCTGGAGGTTTATTGACTAACTCTGTAGAGATGTTTAACTGGCGTCAAAGAACATGGTCGCCATTACAATCAATGCCAAAGAAACGTTATGGAGCGACTTCATTTATTTATAACAATCATATGGCTATAGCTGGGGGTCGCTGTGGTGGGTCTGACATTGTTGATGATATGATTAGAATGAATATTGACCCAAACCCTGATCTCACAACACACTGGAGTGACTGTCCTGTTAAACTACCTGATAAGTTGAGATACCACAGCAGTGTGCTGTATAATAATCAGTTGATGGTCTCTGGAGGTGAAAAGAGAAATGGTTCATCTAAGTTGATCCGAGCAGTCCAGCTTGTTCCTCCCTATACGGTGAAGACCTTATCAAGAATGCCAGAACCAAGACAAGGTCACAGCATGGAAATATTTGATGATAATTTGTTGATAGTTGGTGGAAGAATAACTGGCAACTACAAAGACAACCTCAGCAGTGTCGTACTGTACGATATAAAGAAGAGTGAGCTGAAACAGTTGTCACCACTGCCATATGAAGTGAGTGTTATGGCAACTGTGAGATGGGGAGACAACATTGTTGTTATTGGTGGTGAAGACAAACATGGCAACACATTAGATACAGTTATCATTTACAATGTCAAGACAGAACAAAGTCACATGCTCCCATCAATGAGATGTAAGAGGAGGGGATGTACGGCAGTTGTTATTGAAAACAACATTGTAGTCCTGGGAGGGAGGGGTGAGCAAGGACACCTTAAATCAGTGGAAGGTTTCAACTTTGAAAGGTATTCTTGGGAAGAACTTCCAGAAATGTCTAAAGCAAGATCGTGGCACACTGCTGTTGTTGTGTGAACCATATGTAAGGTATTAATTGAAAACTCCTAACATATATTATGAACAATTGAAATGAACAATAAGATTTTCACAAAGTTATAGAAATAGATTGTAGCATTCAAAGTTGATTGTCAGACATATACTGATTTGTATTTTTGTGATTGAATTTAAAGTCAGTTCTTAGAATTATATATTAAAGAACAATAACAAATCTTTGAAATATATATTTTCATTGAGGAAGGTTTAAAATGAAACACCAAATAAAAGATTTGAAATAAGCTTTCCTGCACACCCTCCACCTAGGTCTTTCACCCCCCCTCCCACCTAGGTTTTTTCAGCAACAACCCCACCCCTCCCCAGCTGGTTCTTCTGCCCTGGTCTCCCACACCAAGAATCCTAACTGAGCCTCTGCCTGAAGAAATAGTTCATTTACCTATTTTAAAAATCAGCCTGTCTGTAAATTATGTCTGTCTGTCAGACTGCCACAAACCAAATCATATTTTAAAATTTAACAATTTTAATTGTTGTAGTAGTAATTAATTATGTAGGCCTGGTTGCTAAGTTTTGAGCGATTTTGTGCAAAAATACGCGAATTTCTAAAAAATCTCCTCTCAACAAGATTTGGAGAGAGTTTTACTCTTTACTAAAACAAAACCCTGATTAACTAATATAAACTGGTTTGTTCTTGTTTTAAATTTCTTGTTAAAAATTTGCTCACAGATTATTTTGTAATTTCACGTTTTCCATCGCGTCCTTGAAGGCTTTTAGTACAAGATTTACATTATCTTTTGTACTGTTAAACCCAATCAGACCAACACGCCATATCTGAAAAATTTCACGACAAAAAGTACGGTTTTTCACAGGGAAAAACAATTACGATTATGGAGCGAATATCTGCGAATATGAAGAAGAAAATTGTGAATATGGATACCTTTCCAGCAGATCTTCCAAGACCACCTGAAATATCTATTTTATAAGTGAAAAAGAAATTGATTATTCAATTCATCTTTATTGGACCTCTATGAATCACCCCCCTGCAAGTCTAAAAAATGGGCGCTTGCCAGGGGGGTTGTATCTTCCCAAGATTCATCACTCAGCAAGTACGTAAATGAAAGGAATCACCCCCCTGCCAATACTCAAAATGCTGCTGTTGGCAGGGGGGTGATCGCCTTCATTTACCGTACTTCTGAGTGACGAAATCCACTTACGCTGAAAACAATGGAGTTGTTCTTGCGATAGGTTTCTGTGCCCACACTTTCTTTTATTTTTATTGTATTTTTATCTTTACTTGAAAGCACGACATGAAATTACCATTTAGACCTAACCCGGGGTGTGACGAAAGTCGATGACACAATTCATTACTCATTCTGTTTCGAGAAATGCATTATAGTTTAAAATTTAGTTTAGCCGAATTCATATTAGAGGCCGGAAACTCGTCTTACAGGGTCAAGGAAAACAGGAAACTCGTCTTACAGGGTCAAGGAAAACAGGAAACTCGTCTTACAGGGGAAACATAGCTGCATAGCTATATTTGAGACATCTAAATATAGTGTATCATCCTACATGCATGCAGTAGGTAATTTGGCATACTACAGCATACATGCAAATGTTATTTCATAAATTATCTGTTTGTGGGTACACTTAATGTTTATATGTTAATGCTAAATTTTCATTGGTGCAATATATTACAATATATTACAAAAATTTGATTGACTTTAGTTTTCTCTTTTCACTATTATATAGATGAAATATCAGACATCGCTCTATTATTAGCTGCCCTACTGCTGCAAAAGTCTGGGAAAATGACCTAAGCAGCTTCATCCAGTTTATTCCAGTAAGTATACTTTTTACATTTCTCTCACTCTCTCTCTCTCTCTCTCTCTCTCTCTCTCTCTCTCTCTCTCTCTCTCTCTCTCTCTCTCTCTCTCTCTCTCTCTCTCTCTCTCTCTCTCTCTCTCTCTATATATATATATATATATATATATTTATATATATATATATATATATATATATATATATACACATAGAGATATGTTAATCAGATTATATATTTGTTGGATGCTAACATAGCCTTTTCCTTGCAGGAAGGTTCAAATTTTGGAAAGCTGGCAAATGAAATGGATGAGGTGCATCCAAAGATCTTGATGAAGGGAAATTTGCAAGATATTGGGGAGAAAACTGTTATTTGTACCGTACAAAGAATGTTGCTGGATTCTGTTGTGGTATATATGGATGTGAACTATTCTTTTATGTTTGAATATCCGGTTGGATTCAACCAGTTTTGTTTATTTGTACAAAAATGTGTTTTAAGTATTCTGGATGGAAAAAAGTTGCCAGGTTCTGTTTTAGATTTTATTAACAAATTAGACACTTTATAACTGATGTATATATACGATTAAATAACTAAATAAACATTT